TGGGCGACCAGGCCACCACGATTCCTTAGGGTCCCCTCATTCGTTCTTTGGGGCTTGCTGGGACTGTCTGCGGGAGGGCAGAGGAACTGGCTGCGGAGTTTCCCTGGCTGCGGAGTTTCCCGGGGCCCCAGCGCCAGGTGGGGCTGGAGCGCTGCCGGCCGAGGGCGCCCACGGAGGAGAACGGCCTCAGCTGTTGGACCCTGGCTGCTGGGGTGGGCGCGTCCAGCCCCGCTGAAGCCTTGGGCGCGGGTGGGCCGGGCCGACCCGGATCCTTTCACCTTACCCTCTTGATACCCAGATCCTCCCCTTCCCACGTATTCGGGGGAAGGATGGTCCACTTCCTCTTGAATAGCGCCCGTCCCACTGTGACAGTCACAGAGTATTCAGTGCCAGGTGTACGCGCCGTGGGTGAAGTGGCGTGCAACGTCTCACCCCAGTTCATTGAGTCGCGGCTCAGCTTGTGTTGAGGAGACGTGTTTCGTGACCTCTCGGAGGGTAGTAGCTGGGGCTTTGACGTTGGTTGATGCACGGGATGCTGCCCCGAAAAGGTGGCAGGTTAATGATTGAAGACGATTTGAAACCACTGGATTGGAAGTAGTTTATACCCTGATTAATGAGAGAAAAAGATCCAATATTATCACGACTTTGAACACTTAAGTATTTCATTTGTAAATATGCTGGGAAAAGTTGTAACAACAGACTTAAAGGACAAGATTTCTGTATAATTACAAATCTGCTATACAAAGTGTTTGCGCTGAGATGGCAGACTAAACATGAAGATTAGGAGAAAGTGGTGCTAGGACTTGTTATGTGCGTGGAGATGGTTCGTATTCATAACTGTGTACAACAGAAGGAAACACTGCCTGGTCCTGCACCATCCTCTCAATCATTGCTGTGTTTGAGCCCATTGTTGCAGCCACTGTGTCAATCCATCTCTTTGAAGGTCTTCCTCTTTTTCCCTGACCCTCTACTCTACCAAGCATGATGTCCTCCTCTAGGGACTGGTCCCTCCTGATAACATGTCCAAAGTACATGGCCCCATCCCCGCTTCTGAGGAGCATTCTAGCTGTACTTCTTCCAAGACAGTTTTGTTCCTTCTTCTGGCAGTCCATGGTATTTTCAATATCTTCAAAGGCATCGAGTCGTCTTCAGTTTTCCTCATTCATTGTCCAGCTTTCACATGCATATGAGGCTGTTGAGCAATACCATGGCTTGGGTCAGGTGCACCTTATCCTCAAAGTGACATCTTTGCTTTTGAACATTTCAGAATGGTCTCAGGCAGCAGGTTTGCCCAATGCGATACATCGTTTGATTTTTTGTTGTTGTTGTGCTTTAGGTGAAAGTTTAAGGAGCCCTGGTGGTACAGTGGTTAAAGTAAAATTGACTGCTAACCCAAAGGTTGGCAGTTCGAAACCACCAGCAGCTCTGCTGGAGAAAGATATGGCAATCTGCTTCCGTAAAGATTTACAGCCTTGGAAACCCTATAGGGTCACTATGAGTTGGAATCAACTCCATGGCAGTGGGTTTTGGTTTTGGTTTAGGTAGAAGTTTACAGAGCAAATTAGCTTCTCATTAAACAACACACAGTGTTCTGTGACATTAGTTGTCAACCCCATGACATGTCAACACTCTCCCCTTCTAGACCTTAGCTTCCCCATTTCCACTCGTCCAGCTTTCCTGTCTCCTCCCGCCTTCGCATCCTTGCCGCTAGGCTGGTATGGCCATACACATGGTTGAACTATGTGTGTTATTATTTGTTTTATATACCTGTATACTATTTGGCTGAAGGGTGATCCTCAGGAGTGATTTCAATACTGTTTGGGTGTCTGGGGGCCGTACTCTCGGGGCTTCTCCAGTCTGTCAGACCAGTAAGTCTGATTTTTTTTTTTTTTTGGTGAGTTTGAATTTTGTTCTACATTTTTCTCCAGCTGTGTCCAGGACCCTCTATTGTGATCCCTGTCAGAGCATTTGGTGGTGGTAGCTGGGCACCATCTAGTTATGCTGGACCCAGTCTGGTGGAAGCTGTGGTCCATTAGTCCTTTGAACTAATCTTTCCTTTGTGTCTTTGGTTTTCTTCATTCTTCCTTGCTCCAGACGGACTCCAGACATATCTTAGATGGCTACTCACAAGCTTTTAAGACCCTAGACACTACTCACCAAAGTAGGGTGTAGAACATTTTCTTTATAAACTATGTTATGCCAGTTGAGCTAGATGCCCTCTGAGTCCCCAGCCCACAGCCCAGTAATTCAGTCCCCCAGGGAGTTTTTTTTTTTTTTTAAAAATATGTACATGTAGTAAAAAGTGTTTTAGTAATTATAAATTTCAACGTATGGGCATATGTGATATGGCATGTGTCTCTAGGTTTTGTTTTGTTTTTTTTTAAATGATGACTAACCGCCCATGCTTGTCTTAAAGATTGGTAAGGTACATCTGATGAAGCCATGACCAGGTGGGCGCGAGTTAGTACTTCACATAACAAGAGACCCTTGGCTGCAACATCATGGGAGGACATGAAGAAGGGATCTGTTGAGGGAACAAGTCAAAGCCTACCAAAGGGTAAACAACTTGAAGCCAAGAGACTGTCCCTTAGAAATGACACACTCCAAACAAAACACAAAAAGAACAAAAAGAAGAAAGAGTACTTAAATGAAGATGTGAATGGATTCATGGAATACCTAAGACAGAACTCACAGACGGCTCACAATGGGGAGATGATAGCAACAGCCAGCCAGGAAATAAGGGAAGAAATTGCAATAGCTTTAAAGAAAGACAGCCGACGGGAAGGAAGAAGATTAAAAAGACAAGCAGCAAAGAAAAATGCAATGGTAAGATCGTTACTTCTACCATGTTACTTACTTTTATGTCTAGAAACTCTATCATTCATACACACATCTTGGGAGGGTCTGATTGCTGTTACGTACCAGAGTTATAAAGCATCTTTATAATACTAGCAGCTACCACTTTTTTAGCACCTCCTATACAAGGTCACTATGAGTTGGAATTGACTCAACGGCAAGAAGTTTGGTTTTTGGTTTTTTGTATGTCCCTGAGGTCCTTGGGCGGCACAGATGGTTTGCGCTTGACCACTAACTGAAACGCTGGTGGCTTGAACCCACCCACTGGCATTGTGGAAGAAAGGCCTGACAAACTGCTTTTGTAAAGATCATAGCCAAGAAACCCTATGGAGCAGTTCTACTCTGTAACTTGTGGGGTCACCATGAGTCAGAATTGACTCAACTGCATTGAGTTTATATGTCCCTGAGTGGTGCAAACAGTGTGCTCGGCTGCTAACTGGTGAATCTAGGCTACTCAGAGGTGCCTCTGAAGAAAGGTCTGGTGATCTACTGCCAGAAAATCAGCCATTGAAAACCCTATGGAGCGCAGTTCTACTGTAACACATGGGGTTTCTGTGAGTCAAACTGGCTTGAGAGCAATCAATTTGGTTTGGTTCTTTTTATATGCTAGGCATTTGATGTACTGATTAATCGTTGCAGCAGCCCTGCAAAGATGGTGGCATTATTCCCATGTTATGGATGGAAAACACTGAAGTGCAGACAGGTTAAGCAACTGGGTGAAAGGCACTTAGCTAGGATCAGTGGTGAAATTGAAACCTGGAGTCGATCTGACTTCAAAATTTAACGTTCTTAACTTTGACTTCCAATAATCATTGTTCAAATAGCTATTTAAAAATATATCAAAACAATAAAGAAGATTAAGTCCAACAGGCTAAGTGTGTCTTCTATTTTCTTTATCCATGAAAAACAGGCACAGGAAGGAGATCTGACAAGAATCACTTTAGTAACAGGGCAGAATAATAGAGTTAAAACTTGAGATCTCCCTTAGTCGTTGCTCCCTCCCTGATGATACACTGGGAGGAATGCTGGGGGCAGCAGGTTTATTTCTGTAGTGTTGAGCCCTGGATTGTAAACTTGGTTGGACACAGGAAATGAAATACTTATGATTCTTCCCCTTCTCTAAGTTCACTTCCACAGTCTTCGAGCAGAGTACTACAGAAGAAACAAGACTTCTCAGTTATTACAGTTTTATTTTTTATTAGAATTACTAAATGTAGAGCACTACACCAATGCAAGCTTAAAACTCTACAGCCTCTATAAATGTGGCTTCTGACTATTTGCAGGATTAGTTCTGTCATTGTCACGTTTAAAGATAATTATTTGCAGATAATACTGATGAAACTTTATGGATAAATTTGAATAAAAAAAGTTATTTCTATTTGGATCAGGATAGCATTATGTTTAGATTTTAAAATTATTTTATATTTTAGTCAAATAAGTTAATTTAAAGCTTAAAGATAATTAGATAATTGTATTGACATAGGCAATATGATGAATTGCATACTAGTTGAAAAAGTTTAATATTATGACCTTTTAAGAAGTGTGGATATTTGTAATTAAAGGGGAGGTTTTTTTTTTTTGTTTTTTTTAAAAGGAATGCTGTATAAATAGTATATGGCTTGCTGTGACCTACTTTCAACTCATTTTCTTGCCAATATTTTTAATACTTCATACTAGCATCAGTTTTTGAACGCAAATAAATTGATTAGGGTATAGAAATTTACCAGGCAGCTGTCTACAGTACCATATACATTAAATTTTAGGATCATTCAAGAAATACGTATTTGGTGATGGTTAGGTTGTAAAGATCAAGAAAGTGAATTGCCAAGTTAATAGAGAGGACCTTGACCAAGAAGCCAAGAATTTTTATGCTGATGATCCAGTTTTTAGTGGTAGCTTTTTCTGCAGTTGTTGGATAAATGCATTTTCTTTGTTTGAATCAACTCATTCTAAATTTAAAAAATCATTAAAAGGAATTGAAAAATAAAAGGAATCATTCTTTTCCAGTATGTTACAAAACAGAAACAAAGGAAAGTGAGGACATAGTTGCAAATTGTTAGGTATTTTAATTTTAATGTATCTGGTTTTTTTTTTTTTAAATGTATGCATACTTTGAAAGATAATTAAATGATTAACTGTTTGCTGTGCAAGAAATACATATACTTTTTTCCAGACTGAGTAAAATAGTTTAAATTGTCTGTCGTCTTTGATTATGGCAGCCATTCTCATTCATTGTATTAAGAAAATATATTCTAAATTGCTATGTGGTCTGTCAAGTAATCACGCCATTGTTCAGTTTTATGTTGGAGCCAAAAATTCATCTTAGAATAAATTAATCCTTTAAAAGGTAATGTATATATATTCTAAAAATAAAACCTCAATTTGTGAGTATCGAAGAATATGTATTAAGGTTATAAAAAAATTAAGGATATACTTGATGTGAAAATATCTTATGATTTTAGTCATAATTTAAATGGAATCATTTGACCCAAATTCATTCAATTATGTGAACTTTAAAACTGCAGATATTATTTTGAGTGAAAATTTTACAGCCATTGTTTATCTTCTACATCACTGCTAACGAAATAGTCCATATTTGCTTAATTCATGTAAGCAGTTGCCTCCTACGAAGCCATTTATAACGTTGTTTCTGAGATTGATGGGTTTATGGACTGAGGGTTTTCAAAAGCACTGGTGGAAATGCCATTTCTTATTGTTCAGGAATATGTGAAACACTTTTTTCTATAGCTAAAATATTGAAAATTTTTTAAAAAGAGGTAATTTAAAGATGGGAAAATTTTAAAGATACTTTTGAGAACAAGAATTGTTGGAGCCAATGTAGTATTACAGTGTGGAAACTTACGTTTTGTTTTCCCAGGTATGTTTCCATTGTAGAAAACCTGGACATGGGGTTGCAGATTGCCCAGCCGCCCTTGAGAATCAAGATGCGGGCACTGGAATATGTTATCGGTGTGGATCCACAGAGCACGAAATAACCAAGTGCAAGGCTAAAGTAGACCCAGCTCTTGGTATGTTTTTCTGTCAGTGTTTTGTTCAGTTGGTGGGGAAAGTGACCAAGAAGTAGCCAACTGTTTTTTTTTTTCTCCCCTTGAGAGAGTTTGTTATGAGCATGCCACTTAATATTTTGAAATCATGAGATTACATTTTAAGTTATGTAAAACAAACACATTTTAAAATAATGTGAATAACATGACTTGTCATACGTATAGTAAACGTAACAAACTGTTGATCCCTACAGGTGAATTTCCTTTTGCAAAATGCTTTGTTTGTGGGGAAATGGGGCACCTGTCCAGGTCCTGTCCTGATAATCCCAAAGGACTCTATGCTGATGGTGAGTACTGTTACACTCAGATATAAAAAAAATGCTGAGTTCTCATGCAGAGTTGTGATTTAATTTACTCTCTTAATCAGAATTCTAGCATAAATAGCAAAACCTTTAGAATTTCATTATTTTTATCAAATGTTAGTTATATGTACTGGGCTCTCTGGGCAATGTGATTTGATATCAAACCAGAAAAAAGTAAGTTGTATATTTCAAACTCTTTGTGTTTGCTTCAGCATCGTTTGTGAGAGTATTTTATAAATTTCTGCTTTTAAACATAACAGAAACAGGGATTATATCTCAACCTAATATAAGATTTTAAAAATAGTGTTGTGTATTGAATCTCATCTTAGCATACATACCATTTTGAGTAGAAGGGCTGATACACACTACTCTTTAAATATTTGTCATAGTTTTGTTTCTGAGTTTTTTTTTAGTTAATTGTCTGGGATGCGATCATGTAGCTTCCTTATCTTTAGCTCAGCTCACATCTTAAGATCCTGAAATAAAGTCTGTGATGTTTAAAGCTTTGAGGAGGAGATTGTCATCTGTTAATATGAATCCACACACAGGCCAGTGTGCCTGTGGCTGGTGCCATGAGGTTCCAGACCCCTCTCAACTCATGTCCTGGGTTCCCCTGGCGAAGCCTAATGGAAAAACATAACTTTTTGAGTCAGTCAGACAGGTTATAACCCCAGCACCACCACTCACTAGTTGTGGGACTTTGGCCAGGTTACTTCACTTCTGTCATCCTTAGTTTCCTCACTTATAGGATGGTGATGATAAAACAGTATTTCATTGATTCAGAAATGTATATTTTTTTCACATTTTAGTATCTTTGAAATCAGGATGCATCTTACCATTGGCTGGTGTCCCATATCCCATAATTGGCAGAATTTTTTTCTTTCTGAGTGGTATATAAATTAATGATACATTTATAATCAGTGGTATCTTAAATTGATGAATTATGTTATTTTCCTGGAAGAATTATTGTGAGGATTAAACTATATTATTTAAGTACCTCTTCTTTGGATTATAAAACAGTAAAGAGGCCCTGGGCCTGGTAAATGCTTGTAGGCGCCTTTCAGATGTGAACTTATGAAATAGGCCAGTTAATATGACTAATGAGCAAAGACAACTTTGGATTGTCAGCCAGAATGACTAGATAGATATTTAAAAGAGTGCGGCAGGAGGAATAGAGCACACAGAAGTGAGAATTCAGCCAGGCTTATATTCTGTAGGGTCATTTTTCTAAGCGACTTAACACTATGAGCATGATCATGATCCTGCTTGACTGTTAAGTGGAAGAGTCATTTTAAAATCACAGTCCTGGACTGTTGCTTAAATCAGGCAAATAGGCATTTTTATAAAGATTAGGGTGTCTGACAGATAGAAGGCATCTGGAATAAAAGTTAATTTTCTTTCTTTCCTAACTGATCATCCCCATCTGTCCTGTAGAGCAGAGCAGTGGCTCCCAACTGTTTTGGGGGGTCATTGACCAATTCATTTGAGAATCTGATAAAAACTCTGGACATCCTTCCTCCTCAGGAAGATGTATCTGCACACAACTTTTGCTTACAGGTCTGAGGGTTCACAGACCCTTGACTGTCAACAGTGGTTAAGATCCAGGTTTCTGGATCTTAGTGCCTCCCATCCTATCTCTCTTCTCTTCCCTACTCCCCTCCAGAAGGCCAGGTGCAAGAAACAGCGGGTAGGTACAGTTTTGTGCTTTGTAAAGTTAAGAGGAATGGGGAATGAACTTGGTAGGAATGATGGCACTTACCTATGTAGAAAAACAGAATGTAAGTGAGAGAGCGACCTTTGCTATGGACGATGACGTGAGGAGTAAATATGATGTGAAAGAGCTCTGAAACGTTAAAAGACCTATGTGAGTATGAGATGGTATTTAATAATCTTGTTCTTTTAATAGGTGGTGGCTGCAGACTTTGTGGCTCCGTGGAACATTATAAGAAAGATTGCCCAGAAAGTAAGAATTCAGGTGAGATCCCTGGCCTCTTTTTAGAAGGGGCAAGATTAGTATTTCTTTGTGTTTTTTATTATTAATTACTTCCATTGAGGACCATTGATTTTAAGGCAGCCTGTTTTCCTACTGCAGTGATGCCTTAATCACTTCACTGTCAGCAGTAGACACAGTACTGAGTAACTGAGCATTAGCTGCTGTTCTCAGTTGGGGGTGTGTGGAAAAAACATGACTACTAAGCCTTAGGGGAGCCTGATTTTATAAAGCATTTTATTTATAAATGCTTACATTTGTTAACTAATGAATTTATTGATTAATTTCTAATTAATTATAATAGAGCCAATTCTGTTTCTTACAGAAGAGTCTTAAAGAGAAAATAAAAAATATGAAAATAACTTTTAGTCTTCTTATGATTATCTTCATATATGTTTTGCTTAGTGTGTGCCTAAAGGATTCAACGTTGATTGTGAAAACTGCTGAAATATTAAAAATGTGTTATCCACACAGCATCTGGTCAGTTATTTTCTTCCTAATGAAGTACAGCTGTGGTGGTCAAAAACTTGGTAAATGTTCTGTATACCTAAGAAGGACTTTGGGGGAAGTAGAGACCATTATTACATTAGTTTGCCTGGATTAGAGTAACGATAATCTACGTGAAAGAAAGTGAGACAGTAGGATAGCCCAGTAGTGCTTCTTAGGGGAAAAAAATCACATTTCTTTTTATTTCATATAGCACTACACAGAATACGCTGCACATTCTTAACTTTCTACCCCTAAAATTGATCTGAAAAGCAAGAATCCTTGTTTACAGTCTTGCCTAGAAGAAGATAGTTTTTACTACATTGTAGGCAGTGAGATTGAAATGATGAAGTGGATTTGAATTCTCTCTCCTGGGAGGATTACCACTTCCCCAGTGAAAAGACTGACAAGCAGATGTTGTATAATTTTACAGGTGGAATCTTGCGCATTTAAAACTGATGCTTCATAAGTCTTGCTGTTTACAGACTGTTGGAATTCATTGACTATAATGATGAACTCTGGAAAAGAATGAAAGAGCTTTCTCATCAATTTGTGCATTGCAGAGCAGTTGTTGCATTTCCCTAATTGGAATGAGAAATTGCCTGTGGTACTCTGAAATCAAGTGTTATAATCAATTACAGAATTACTCACTTTCCTTTAGTGATGGAGTCTTCCCTCCTTGTGATTATTCATGTCAAAACTAGTTCTTTTGCTCAGCCAATACCATTCTGAGTGGATGTCTTTGATTACATTGCTTTTCTTACATTCTAACTTTTCTATTCCTTTACAGATAAAATTGTCACAGTTGGTCGCTGGGCAAAGGGAATGAGTGCAGACTACGAAGAAATTTTGGATGCTCCCAAACCACAGAAACCCAAAACAAAGATACCTAAAGTTGTTAATTTTTGATAATATCTACTTGACAAGATGGAGTGGGGCTTCCTAGGAGGCCTATATGATCTGGACATGGTCAAACACCATTTCCTGAGTTCTGTCCAACAAGGAGTACTTCTACCTCTGGAGAACACCATTGGAAAAAGCATAAGATACTTAAATGGAATTCTCTAGAACATGTTTAACAGGCAGAACTCAGGTATAACTAAGAGGTTGTATACCTGATTTTAACAATCACCTTTTCTTAAAACAAAGGATTATGCATTAATGTGTATTTGCATTTGGAGATGAACTTTTGTTATACTGTTTCAAAATATAAATTTTACTGTTTTTTTCGTACAATAGAAATTTATTTATAACTGCCACAAGATTGCTGTATTTTTAAAATACTGAATAAAAAGTCATTTGCTTATTTTTTCTGAATACCTGATTCTAAATTGAGCGAACCATTGTCTGTTAACATCCACGTAACAATCCTTTTCAAAACAAGGTCTTTTCATGAATCTGGCGAGTATAAACAAGGATTTGGTTAATTTTTGTTTTGGTTTTGACCTAAAGAAATTACAGAATTTTCAGGGTAAAGTTGAAAGCATCCCAATTTAACAGCAGCCCTTTCTTTGTCCTTGATTTTCAAGAGAGAAATTGGAATCAGATGTCTTAATTTCATAGTGCTGCTGTAACAGAAATACCACAGATGGTTATCTTTAATGAACAGAAATTTATTTTCTCACAGTTTAGGAGTCTAGAAGTCTGAATTCAGGGCACTAGCTCTTGGGGATGCCTCTTTCTCTGTTGGCTCTGGGGGAAGATCCTTGTTTCAGCTTTTTCTAGCCCCAGCATTCTTTGATTCCTTGATGATCTTCAGATTGCATCTATCTTCCCCAGTATGCCCTTGCTTCTGTGTCTAATCTGCTCTTTTTATAATTCAGAAGTGATTAGGTTTAGGACACACCCTCACTGATATGGCCTCATTAACGTAACAAAAACCCTGTTCTCAAGTGGGATTATATCCACAGGTATACCAAAAAACCAAACCCATTGCCATTGAGTCAATTGTGACTCATAGGGACCCTACAGGACAGAGTAGAACTGCCCTATAGGGTTTCCAAGGATCAGCTGGTGGATTCCAACTGCAAACCTTTTGGTTAGCAGCAAGCTCTCAATCACTGTGCCACCAGGGGTTAGGATTTCATCACATATTTTAGGTGGCAGGGAAGTGGAGGGCCACAATTCAAACCACAACACCAAGATTCAGTTTGGACTATTGAACCAGAATGATGGCGCATAACAGATTGTATATCAAACTTAACAGCGTTTTATTCACATGTTTGAGTCAGGGTGAGATGGAAGTATCACCATAATAGAACACTAATCAGAGACCCATTAGCTGCTTTGTTTGATTTGATGAATACATGCATACTTAATACATATATTTCATAAGGCTTAACGCCACCATTGTGCTGTATAATGGAATGACTCTGGTGGATTGTGTGTCTCATTTGAAATTTTACCTGATTGGATACATTTGTAACTAAAGGAGACAGCTGTGATTAGTTACTGATGCTCTGAAAGCAAAATATTTACCAAATAAGAAAAGGAACACTTTTCTCTTTTAATGTCTGCACAACTCAACAGTTCTAGTCTTAATAGGAGCTGTTCTTTTATTGTCAGCGCGAGAGGAAAACATGATGACAGAACACTGCTCAGCACCCCGGAGCTTAAGGAAACGAGCGCCATTTGGAATTGCACAAGTCATGCAGCTGGAGAAGGACAGCAGTGCTTTAGTCCTCAATGTAAATGCTTTAGTCCTAAAACACCCTGATTTATTTCACCTGTCCTGTCAGAAGCAGGGAGTTCCTGGGTGGTGCAAATAGCATGCTTGGCTGCTAACTGAAAGGTTGGAGGTTCAAGTCCACCCAGAGGCACCACAGAAGAAAGGCCTGGTGACCCTCTTATTTCCGAAAAATCGGCCATTGAAAACCCTATGGAGCAGCTCTACTCTGACACGTGGATTTGCCATGAGTCTGAATTGACAGCAACTGGTTAACTGATCGGTTATAGATAGAAACTTCAGATCAATAGCAACTGTTAGACACAGCAGAAACTAATTAATAGAGTCCTCAAGATATGGCCTCTGTTATTGATCTGATGATATTCTTCTACTAGTTTATCCCTCACTCTGTTCCATCCTTATTGGTGTCTTTGCTGTTCAACACCAGGTATCCTTCCTTGGTATCACTGCATTTATCTGTTCCCTCACCTCAGGATATCCAAGGCTTGCTCCCTCACTTCTTTCTAGTCTTTGCTCAAATGTCATCTTTTAAGGGAGACCTTTCCTAAGCACACTATTTAAAATTCTCTCCCCTCAAGAACTCCCATTCCATTCTCTGATTCCAGCTCATAGTAACTCTATAGGACAGAGTAGAACTACCGGGTTTCCAAGGAGTAGCTGGTGAATTGGAACTGCTGGTTAGCAGCCAAGCCACTGCGCCACCAGGGATCCATATATATATATATGTATGTATGTATGTATATGTATGTATATATGTATATATATCCTATATATTGTCTACTGGAGCCCTGGTGGCACAATAGTTGAACGCTCAGATGCTAACCAAAAAGTTGGTGGTTCGAACCCACCCAGCTGCTCCGCAGAAGAAAACTGGCGATCTGCTCTCGTAAAGATTACAGCCTAGAAAACTTAATAGGGCAGTTCTACTCTATCACATGGGGTCGCTATGAGTTGAAATCGACTTAAGGACACCCAATAACAGCTTATTGTCTGTCACTCCCAACCAGAATGTAAGCTTCATGAGAGCCAAGATTTTTGTGTTTTTTGTTCATTGCTGTATCCCCAGTATTAGTACATTACCTGACACAAACTAAGTATTCAATAAATTTTCTTTGAATGAATAAACACCCTTGTCTTCCCCAGCTTGGTGACAAAGTCTAAGAGTTTAAAGTTTATTAGTATCTTTACTCTTTACAACATTATGGTAGAAGATTTTATAATACTTTAATTCTGACATCTGTCATCGTATATGCAATTGTTATCCACAGATTAGACATTTTTATTCTTTAAACAATATTTCTTTGAATTATTTATGTATCTGACAGTATGTTTGCTTACCATGTGTCCTTGTATCTTAGACCTTATACTTAATAACTTTTCTTCTTCCAAAAGTACATTTAGAATTCTTGTTAGTAAGGAACTATTGGTGGTATATTTTATCTTGTTTGCCTGCTAGTGGCTTAATTTTGTCCCCATTCTTTAAAGATAGTTTCAGTGGGCATACACTTCTAAGTTGAAATTTATTTTCCCTTAGCTCATTGAAAATATTATGCCATTGTCTTCTGGCTGACATTGTTATTGTGAAGTTGCAAATTGTTCTTCTTTTGCAGGTAATGCCTTTTCTCTCTGAATGCTTTTAAATCTATTTTGGGAGTTCCTCATTTCACTATAAATACCTAGTTGTGTATGTTTTTTATTCAGCCTTTTTGGGATATATAGTATTGAACTTCCTGAAGGAAAAAAATTCTCAACACTTCTGGAAATTCTTGGCCATTATTTCTTTGAATATTGCTTCTTTCCTATTCTACTATCCTCAATATTCATCGACCTCTTTTTATATATTTGTATATGTATCTTTGGAAGGAGCCTGGTGGCCAAAAGTTCAGTGGTTTGAACCCACCAGCCACTTCGCGGGAGAAAGATGTGACAGTCTTCTTCCATAAAGATTATAGCCTTGGAAACCCTATGGGGCACTTCTACTCTGTCTTATAGGTCACTGTGAGTCAGAATCAACTCTTTTGACAACAGGTTAATGTATCTTTGTGCTATATTTGAGATAGTTTAGTTGGCACTATCTTCCAATTCACTGATTCTGTCTTTACCTTGCCATTTTTTGAGCTACAACTGAGTTTTTATTTTAATTATTGTATTTTTCAATTTTAAATATTTCCGTTGGTTACTTTTCAAAGCTGTTTATTTTTTTTTTAAATAGTCTCCTGCTCCTTGCTCAATTTTTCAATTTTCTCCTGATTTCTTTAAACATATTGTCTTTGTTTGGGTTCTTTAGAGGAGCAAAACCAGTGAAGTGTATATAAATATATATAAATACAGAGAAAGAGACATTTACTTCAAGGAAATGGCTCACACGATTATGGGGGCTGGCAAGTCCTAAATCCGTGGGTCAGGCCACAGACCGAAGACCTTTGCTAGCTCGCAGGTTGCTGGGGTTGGTGTATCCAAAATCTACAGGTCAGGCAGCAGGCCAGAGACTTCTGCAGGCTTTTGTCCCCAGAACCGGAAGTCAGTATAGTGTTGAGAAAGAGTGAGCTTTGCCAGAACATCCATTTATACACTGGAGGCAGATCCCAACCCCAGGGAAACTCACGTTTCAACTGATTGGCTGCTCACATAAGATCACAAAATGGAACGTGAT